TGTTTCTAATGCAGATGCGATCTCCAGGGCTGAGGGAAGAGAACCCACTCTGTAAATAGGCAGCTCAAGGGACTCTGAGATTTCTCTGATAACTGAGACTTTCTCAGCAGTGCAATAGTCACAGGTTCAGGTGTGGGACAAACCTGAGTGCCAAGCTCAGCTCCCTCATTTCAGCTGCATGATTAGCTAAAGCCTTCAAACTCAGGTCCCTGTTTTATGAAGTGGGAATAATAACAGCAACTACTTATAGCTTCATAAAGAGATTGAATTAGTTCATGGCCACAAAGCCCTCAGCAGGGGGCCTGATGCAGGAAGCACTCAGCAAATGTTAACTGGCTGTACAGACTAGATCAGGTACCCTAACAGAGCTACAGAGGTGGGGACTCTTTTGACTTTTTCCTCTACCAGCCAGCAACAAACAGCCCTCTGTGACACCTCTGCTAGAGTGCTAGGGGATGATGGAGTAAGGAAGGAGGCTGGGGAGCCCTGGCCTCAGGGCAGCCCTACCTGCGCCCACCACCATAGCCTCCCTTCCTCCCCCAACTTGACTGAAATTTCTAGAGCTCTCCCCCCAAGGTGTGTGTGGCTTTTGACCAGAATCCATACCCATCAGTTCCATTTGCTGTGGGTGGCTCAGGATTCACTCTCCAAGAGGCTCCAGCTTTGCCCCTGGCCACTGTTCTGGACCAAGTTCAGGCTTCCACACCTCCTGCTGGCACAATACCAGCAACCTCCTCACTCAGAGGTTCCTGAGTGCTCTCAGGGCCTCCCATCTCTCCCAGTCCATTCCTGATACCTGCACCAGCATGCTCTGAACATAGCTTGAAAACCACCAACCACTATCCCTTCTCCACTAAATTAAACATAACCGTGGCATTCAAGATCTTCTGCCAAAGGCCCCTGTGATCATCTCTGATCTTATTTCCTATTTCTCCACTTCAGTAAATGCAGTTCTTTGGTCAACTGGCCCTCTGTGACTCCTCTGAGTATCCTCCCTGCACAAGGCTTCAGAAAGAAGCAGGTAAGGAGATCTGTCTTAGGACTCCTCGTGTAGGGGCAAACTTTTGTAGTTAATAAGCTCATTCTGGGTGGTGCCTGTGGCTCAAAGGAGTAGGGCACCAGTCCCATATGCTAAAGGTGGTGGATTCAAACCTAGCCCCTGGCCAAAAAATAAATAAGCTCATTCTAGGTTCAGCGCCTGTAGCTAAATGGTTAGAGCACCAGCCACATACACTGGAGCTAGCAGGTTTGAACCCAGCCCAGGCCTGCCAAACAGTGACAACTATACCCAAAAAATAGCCAGGCGTTCTGGTAGACACCTGTAGTCCCAGCTACTTGGGAGGCTGAGGCAAGAGAATTGCTTAAGCCCAAGAGTTGGAGGTTGCTGTGAGCTGTGACGCGATGGCACTCTACCAAAGGCTACATACTGAGACTCTGCCTCCAAAAAAAAAAAAAAAAAGCTCATTCTACAAGAAAGTGATTGAAAGGGATTGCAGACAATTGGGGACAATGTAGGTTCATAGGAGAAACCCTGTGCTACAGTTCAGCCCTCCAGGGAGGGAAGAACAGGCTTTCCCCAGCCTCACCAGGAGGCAAAGCTGGTAAAGCCAGTTCCTTGTAGGATCTGACACAGCACAAACTCTCCACACCAAGAGCCTAGGGCAGAGAATGCACTGGAGTCCCACAGCACTGGGGGGAGTCTCACCTCTGCTGCTCCATGACCCCAGACACTCTAACAGTGGGAAAAAAATGCCTAAATTATAGGGTTTTGGTTTTGGTTTTTGTCTTAAGACAGAGTCTCACTCTGTTGCCCAAGCTAGAGTGCAGTGGTGTTAGCGTAGCTCACAACAACTTCAAAACTCCTGGGTTCAAGCGAGCCTCTTGCCTCAGCCTGCTGAGTAGCTGGGATTACAGGTGTCCACCACAACGCCGGCTAGTTTTTCTTATTTTTAGTAGAGACAGGGGTCTGGCTCTTGCTCAGGCTGGTCTCAAACTCCTGAGCTCAAGTAATCCTCCCAACTTAGCCTCCCAGAGTGCTAGGATTACAGGCACAAGCCACCACATCAGGCCAACTTATAGGGCTTTTTCTTAGACCCTGGGTGGCCCCCAAAGATTTTGGAAAAGGGACATTTCTACAACCAATTAGACATTAAAGAATATAGCACCCAAGGGCCTCCCCAACTCTGAGAGATCCTTAGATTCATGACTCTGAGGTCCCAAGCACCTCAGCTTACTTCAGAAAAGGGGAAAGGCAGTGAAATGCCAGCGCTTGGGAGAGAGAGAGCGACGCTACCGGGGTGCAGGCACTGGGAGAGGCAGCTGCTCCCACACACTCACATGCTGCCTTCCAGGCCCAGGCAGAGGAGCCAGCACCTCACCTCTGGAGATAAGCCCAGCACCTGGCAGCTACTGGTCTTCTGTAGGGCAAAGGGGAGGGAGGAGAGAAGCAGGAGGAGGCTAGGTCCTCTAGCACACCTGCAATGCTCTCTCTTCAGCTAAAAGAGATGTGCCTGTTGTCTAGCTACTTGGGAGGCTGAGGGAGGAGGATCAGATTGCTTCAGCCCAGGAATTGGAGGCTGCAATGAGCTATGAAGATGCCACTGCACTCTAGCTGGGGCAACAGAGCAAGACCTTATCTTTAAGAAACAAAAGTGGCTCGGCACCTATAGCTCAACCGGCTAAGGCGCCAGCCACGTACACCTAAGGTGGTGGGTTCAAATCCCCAGCCCGGACCCGCCAAACAACAATGACGGCTGCAACCAAAAAATAGCCGGGCGTTGTGGCGGGTGCCTGTGGTCCCAGCTACTTGGGAGGCTGAGGCAGGAGACTCGCTTGAGCCCAGGAGTTGGAGGTTGCTGTGAACTGTAATGCCACGGCACTCTGCCCAGGGGGACAGCTTGAGGCTCTGTCTCAAAAAAAAAAAAAAAAAAAAAAAAAAAAAAAAAAAAAAAAAAAAAAAAAAAATTAAAAAAAAAAACACTATATGCAGGCAGCCTTGCCAAAATAAAAAAGTTTTTCATAAGTTTGATATAGTGAGGGGGCGGGGGAAGAGAGAAAGTGATGGGTGGGATCTCACCTAATGTACACAATGTGAGGGTGTTCAACATGCCCCCTAGGTGAAGGGCTCAACTACAACTTCACTCTGGGGGGCTGAGGCAGGTGGATCGCTTGAGCACAGGCATTCAAGCCCAATCAGAGCAAGAGCAAGTCCCTGACTCTAAACAAAAAAAGAGCCGAGCATTGTGGTGGGTGTCTATAGTCCTAGCTAGTTGGGACACTAAGGCAAGGAAATCACTTGAGCCCAGGAGTTTGAGGTTGCTGTGAGCTATGATGATGCTACAGCACTGTACCCAAGGCATCAAAGTGAGACTCTGTCTAAAAAAATAAAAAAAGTATTCAATACATTCATCCCCTCATATCAATCTGAAATTTAAAAACAAAATAAAAAATTTAAAGTTTTCATCCAATAAGAATAATAGTTTTGTTGAGTCACAACCAACATTTATTTAAATTATTTGAAAGAGAAGAGTCTGTGAGACTTGGCAGACTTTGTGCACCTCAGAGTGCAGGATGAGCAGAGAAGGCCTCTCACGGGAACCAGCTTGACACTGGGGAGAAGAGGGTGTGTGTAGAGCCAGATGCACGTCTGGTCGCTGCCTAGGCCTTAATTTCCCCATCTATATGGTAGAGATACTACCACTAGCCCTGCCTCCCACATGTTATGGAGTAGAGGGGCAGGAGCAGGGTGAGGATTTCAAGATATGGGGGATGGGAAAGCGACTTGTTTTCATAGACCAAGTTCATACCACTCAAGTGCATTAGTGCCCAGGCTTCTCACTTTCCAAAGACCCACCTAGGTGCTGAGGGCGCCTGGGGACTGGGGCAGACATCTGCTCCATCTGCCTCTTCTGGCCTCTCTCCAGCAGCCTCCCCACTGTACTGAAGCCCACAGCCACAAAGCAGCCTCCTCTCCCTAGACTCCTCTGGGCCCCAAAGGAACTAGGCAGAGCTTTTCAGAACCATGGTTGGACTAAAGCCTACAGAAGTGCCTCCCACAACAGCCGTGAAGTTCCTGGGGGCAGGCACGGCAGCCTGTTTTGCTGACCTCCTCACCTTTCCACTGGACACAGCCAAGGTCCGCCTACAGGTAGGTGCCCTGTAACCAAGGGTCATTGTTGGCATCAAGGAAGGGGCTAATTCTCTACCACAGCACCCAGGCTGTCAGCCCATGTGCCCTTCCTCACACTTCCTGATGAGGCCACTCACCCTACTACTTAGGATTCTTCCTTGCTTCCTCCCCATTTCCATCACCCAAGACAAAATTTTAAAAAGAAGCTGGGCACAGTGGCTCATGCCTGTATAATCTTAGCACTCTGGGAAGCCAAGGCAGGTGGATTGCTTGAGCTCACGAGTTCAAGACAAGCCTGAGAAGCAAGACCAGGTCTCTACTAAAAATAGAAAAACTGAGGCAAAAAAAAAAAAAATAGAAAAACTGAGGCAAGAAGATGACTTGAGCCTAAGTTGCAGGTTGCTGTGAGCTATGATGCCATGGTACTCTACCCAGAGCAACATCTTGGGATTCTGTCTTTAAAAAAAAAAATGGGGGCAGCACCTGTGGCTCAAAGGAGTAGGGCACCAGCCCCATATACCAGAGGTGGTAGGTTCAAACCCAGCCCCGGCCAAAAACTGCAAAAAAAAAAAAAAAAAGAAAGACATCTAAATTCCTTGGCATGATGTTACAGGGCCCTCCATGGCCTAGGCCCTACTCTGTAAACCATAAGGTAAAATATAAGGAATTGTGTGACCTTGCGCAAGCCAGGAAGCATTTATAAAATGGGAAAAACAATGTGGCCCGCTGACCTGCTACCCAGTGTGTGCATACACTGCTTTGTGAACTGCAAGGCGCTGCACAAACCTGCATTATTTGTACTGTGATGTGATAGCTGCTCTTGTTCTCCGGGTTAGCCCAGGCAGGGTCCCTGCGCACACAACCCCTTCCTGCCTGCCCACCCAGCTCTTACGCGCTGTGGTTGTCCCTCAGATCCAAGGGGAGAACCGGCCAGCCCAGGCAGCCCTGGGCGTGCAGTACCGTGGTGTGCTGGGCACCATCCTGACCATGGTGCGCACTGAGGGCCTCCGCAGCCCCTACAACGGGTTGGTCGCCGGCCTGCAGCGCCAAATGAGCTTTGCCTCCATCCGCATCGGCCTCTATGACTCTGTCAAGCAGTTCTATACACCCAAAGGAGTGGAACGTGAGTGCCTGCTTCCCCGCAGACACAAGGGGGGTGGGTGGAAGCAGAATGTGTCTCAGTAGACTCAGAGCAGAACTAGGGTGCAGGGAAGCTGGTAACAGACACTCGTGAGGAGACTCTGAGTGATCTTCCAAAAAGACCCTAACACAGGAGAGAGCACAGGCAGCGAGCAGGGGCAGCCCCACAAAGATCATCATCCCAGAGAAGGGACACTGGCCCACTCTCTGCTTCTCCCAGACTCCAGCGTCACTACCCGGATTTTGGCGGGTTGCACCACAGGGGCCATGGCAGTAACCTGCGCCCAACCCACGGATGTGGTGAAGATCCGATTTCAAGCCAGTGTGCACCTCGGGCCCAGGAGTGACAGGAAATATGGTGGAACTATGGATGCCTACAGAACCATCGCCAGGGAGGAGGGGCTCAGGGGCCTGTGGAAAGGTAAGCTTGGACTCCAGACTCAGGGGGCCTTTGGCAGAGCCCTCCTCACACTAGGGCTGGGTCAGGAGGGAACTCCCAGCATGGTGTCTTCCAGTGATTCTAAAAGAACATCCCAACCCAAAATACCTCACTGACCTGCCCGGGTACCTCAAATTCAGTTCATTTTACCAACACTACCACAAGCAGGCTGCTGCAGGGGAGACAGAAATGAATATAAAACACTGTCCACCCTGGCAGGGCACTTGCAGACACACAGAGGAGATAAGTCAGGGAGTAGCTAACCCTACCACGGGCAGGATGTGCTGGGTGTCATGCCAGGGGTATAGATCCACAGGTGGGAAAAAGCCCACAAGTGCTGCAGAAAAGGTAGCATAAGCTGGGCCCCAAAGGCCGAACAGACTTGAAATGTGTAGAGATGGAAGGGACAGGCTTTCAAGCAGGGCACAGAGAAAAACACAGAAGCTTCAGAAAAGCACAGCTGCGAGGCGTGAGACACAGGGAGATGCGGTGCTGAGGCGACTTCTTAGTTCCCTATGTGGCGGCCACCCTGATGAATGCTAGAATCTCTCACAAGTGGGCCATGAGGTCACATGAATTCTTGAAGAAGAAACAGTAACCCAGTGAAATTTAAGAGGATGACATCTGGGTGATAGCCCTGGCCCTGCACTCACTTGATGGGTGCCCTCCTGGAGCCTGTCCCCTCACCTGTGAAACCAGGGGGTTGGTATTGATATTCTCCTAGGGCTCTGCTAGCACTGCATTCTGTCACTGCTTCAAAAGCCCAGCCTCCCTCTTCAAAGAATGACGTCCTTTTCTGATTACAGCTGAGTCTCAGGGAGACACATTTTAATTTTCGAATTTTCACAGCTATTATAGTTTATCCTCCAAAATGTGGTCAAATCAACACAAATGGGCTTCTGTTTTTCTTTCTGAGGAAGACATGTTAACCCTAGAAAGGAACGTAGGTGATCTGCTCAGCTGGGGTGGGCTTTTCACACTATGCCCCACACTGGGACCTGTGGCCTTGCAGCGGGGTGCCCATTTATCCCATTCATCAGCCCCAGCTCTCTTAAACAGGAACTTTCCCCAACATCACAAGGAATGCCATTGTCAACTGTGCTGAGATGGTGACCTACGACATCATCAAGGAGAAGCTGCTGGACTATCGCCTATTCACAGGTGAGGCACCAGGGTCCAGGCAGACAGCTTCTGCTCAGCAGGGCAGGCACACAGCACTCCACAAAGTGGGCACCACCCAGAGGCAACTGAGCTTTAGGAGAAGAGGGAACAATAGCCAAAAAACTGCCTGCTATGACCAGTAGGAAAGACGCCTGGGCCGGAAGGTTGGAGACCTGGATGCCAATACCGGCACCACTTCTCACTATGGACCTTTAAGCAAGGGTCTCTCACCTTCTCTGATTTGTTTCCTCAAATGAGGTGGTTGGGCTGGATGACCTTCCAACTCTGAGATGACCCAGTTCTAATTAGTTTGCCAATAGTTACCAAGAGCTTAGTCCTGGGCAAACTTATGAAAAATGCCATCCTGATGCTCAAGGAGTTCAAGGTTTAGTTGGGGACAAACAATGAGCCTACAAGGAATAGAATGCAAGCACACCCCCTGGTATTTGCTCTTCCCTTCCCTTCTACAGACAACTTCCCCTGCCACTTTGTCTCTGCCTTTGGAGCTGGCTTCTGTGCCACATTGGTGGCCTCCCCAGTGGATGTGGTGAAGACCCGGTATATGAACTCCCCACCAGGCCAGTACCTCAGCCCCCTGGACTGTATGCTAAAGTTGGTAGCCCAGGAGGGCCCCACAGCCTTCTATAAGGGGTGAGCACCTTCTGTACCTCCAGCACACCCACCAAGTGAACTGGGGTGTCTTTCCTTTCTAGTATGGCTACGATGGGTCAGTCTGGAAATGCAATGGTGAACAGTACAGGTGTAAATGCCACAAAGGAGAAGTATAAAGAACTATGGAGGAAAAAAAGTGAACCAAACCTGATCTGGAGAGTCAGGGAACCCTTGATGAGAAAAAAGAGTCTAGGGATAGGTGAAAGTACTGTCTATCTCCAAACTTTGGGGGCAGAAGAGAGCGAACAGTAGTTAGTAATCCTCAAACTTTTCCCCAGACTACACAGATGGCAGCCAGTGCTTTACTCACCGTCCCAACACGCTTCACGTTTTCCTGCTTCTATGCCTTTGCACTTCCTGCTCCCTCCTCATGGAATGCCTCTCACCATCTACAGGCTCTAAATCTTAGCCATTCCTTTTTTTTTTTTTGGCCGGGTCTGGGTTCGAACCCACCACCTCTGGCACATGGGGCCAGCGCCCTACTCCTTTGAGCCACAGGCACTGCCCCTTAGCCAGTCTTTAGGACTAGCTCCTATGCTAACTACTTCCTAACACTCTCGGGTATAAATTTTCCCTCCTCCCTGTGGACTTTGGCAATACTATTTGATGGCATTTACCGCCTCATGCCTTTTATTTGTATTTGTAAGCTACAGTTACTCCCCATGCTAAAGCCCAAGCTTCTTAAAGCCAAGGATCAGTAGCTTATACCATTTATCTCCCGAAGCCCCTAACACAAGGCAAGCACTCAATAATGTGGGTTATTTATGATAATCATGATAGCTAAGTCACCATATATTAGGCCTTATGCTAAGCACTTGGCATATGTTACCTCAACAATCTCCTGAACTGGGTCGTAGTCTCCACATTTACTGAGGAGGAGACTGAGTCTCAGAAAAGGTTAATAACTTGTCCAAGATCACAGGTTAAAATGACAGAGCCACAGCTCAAACCCAGACCATCAAACACCACATCTGATATGTTGTTTATCCTACTAGTAAGCCCTTTACTTGGCCTTTTCACCTCCCACCACTGATGCCTTCAATGGATAGTTTTCTGGTGCCTGATGTAAGACTGGACCCAAGAAAACAGGAGTCACTATAGGTTCTCAAGTCTGGGAATGACATGATAAAACTATATTCAATTGACAGACTGTTCTGATAAGTGCCTCTGTCTTTATACTCTTCCTTTCCAACCACTTGTCTCAGTTTATTCTTTTACTTGTCAAGTATTTATTGAGCATCTTGTGTGTGCTAAGCCCTGTGCTATGCTTCCCTCAAATGAGCCCAGAAACAATATTAAAGTATAAATTTATTTTATATTAGAGAGGGGGGAAATAGTGGAGCCCAAAAGTTTAGGGTTGCTGTGGGCTGTGATGCCACGGCACTCTACCAAGGGTGACATAAGGAGACTCTGTCTCAAAAAAAATAAGCAATCAATAAGTAAATAAATAATAACTTGTCTGGGTTGTAAAACTAGAAACTAGTAGAGCTGGGATTTGAACCCAGGTCTGACTCCAAAGTTCACATTTATTGCCACAATGCTACCTTCCCAGTGAGGGTCAGGAAAGGCCATGGCATGAGGTTATGGTGCCCACTCTGAGTCCTACAGAGCAAAGAGCAACCAGCCAGGCAAGGAAGAGAGTAGGGGACATTCCAACAGAGCAATATGAACAAAGCCATGGGCCTGGCACTGTCAGAGAACTGTAACTGGCTGAGTCTGGCCGGAGTGAGAGTGTTCCAGGAGGGGATTAGAGGAGAGAGTGAGAGGAAGACAGGGGGCAGATGACAAGCTCGTCCCTGAGTATCTGAGTCACAGCTGAGTTGGGGAACTATCTCCCTGCTGTGCCATCATAGCACAGGCACTGTGTGGAATGAGCTAAATTTGGTGCCACTCTGCCCTCACTTCACAGTGTCCCAGCTTCTCAGTGCCTTGGCAGGGGCCTCCTTGGCAGTGGCCCCTTAGGATATAAATGAGCCCAGAAACACCCGCAGCAGGGTGGAGTCAGGTCAGGTACTCATGTGAACCCCATCTCTGATACGTATTAGCTGTGTGGTTTGGTAGAGCTACTTAACCTCCCTGGGCCTCAGTTTTGGAAGAGGAACCCGGCAGCAGCAGTCATAGCTACCTTATAGAACTGTGAGAATTAACTGCCTGCCACAGTAATCTGGCTCAGAATGTTAGTTCTCTTTCCTTTCCTGACTCCAACAACTGCCTCAATCCCCTAGGCAGTGAAGAAAAAGACAGATCGTAGAAAATGCTCAAGACAAACAGAAGTCAAGTTTCTTTGACACTAACGCTGTATATGGGGGGAGAGCACAGGGGGTCTATTTGTGGTCTCTCAGCCCTCTCCACCTGATGTTTTCGTTGTTTTCCTCATCAGATTTACACCCTCCTTCTTGCGTTTGGGATCCTGGAATGTGATGATGTTCGTAACCTATGAGCAGCTGAAACGGGCCTTGATGAAAGTCCAGATTTTACGAGAATCTCCTTTTTGAACAAGATAAGAAAGCAACTGGTACTTAACTTGCTTGAAACCAGTTAAGAATGGAATAGAACAGTGGATCCACCTACATGTGGACACAGACTACACATGTTTACAGAACTGTTTACTTGTTGCTGATTCAGGAAACAGAAGTAGAAGAGGAAGGATTCTGGTCTTCAGTGCTTTCTCTTAAGAATGCTTTTGCACTGACAAGATGGAAATAAATTATATTAATTTTTGAAAACCATTTGACATGCCTAACATTTAGGCAAGAGAAACCAAAACAGATCCATTTGGATAAAGCAGAAGTTGGCAAACTTGTCTCCTCCATAGAATCTGATTAGACAATGAATTATAAGCAGGAAAGACTGTAAGCCTGGGATAGGAGTGGTCCACAACACAGTTGGAAATCAGCCAAGGAGTCTAGAAGGATGCTTCAAAAGCACCACAAAGATTGTGACTGCAGGCCTCATGGTCGCCCATGGATCACAAGCCTTTTTGTAATGTGTCTGCCACGTAGAATCCACTGGGATTCTAAAAAATCTGAGAAACAGGGCGGCACCTGTGGCTCAGGGAGTAGGGCTCCAGTCCCATATACTGAGGGTGACGGGCTTCCAGCCAAAACTGCAAAATAAGAAAAGAAATCTGAGAAACAGAAGAAAGCCTAGAACCTGTGCCAAAGAAACTGTGAAGAGCCAATGTGAGGCTGAGGCTTGCAAATATTCCCTGATGACACTGGAGAATCAAGAGGGCAGCCGTAGTCCTCTTTCCTGTAAAATGGGTTGATAATCCCTCCCCTGCCTACCTCATCAGGGTGACAATCACATGAGAAGCTGGGTATAAAGGCACTTTATAAAAGAAAAAGCTATGTACACACGTAAATATAAGGATGCTGTCTTGGGAGAGATTTTGTCAGGACAAAGAGGGACTGCCAGAGGTGACACCTTTGGCTCAGTGAGTAGGGCACCGGCCCCATATGCCAAGGGTGGTGGGTTCCAACCCGGTCCCAGCCAAACTGCAACAACAACAACAAAAAAAATAGCCAGGCGTTATGGCTATTTTTTGCGTAGTCCCAGCTACTCGGGAAGCTAAGGCAAGAGAATCGCCTAAGCCCAGGAGGTGGAGGTTGCTGTGAGCTGTGACACTACAGCACTCTACCGAGGGCAATAGAGTAAGACCCTGCCTTTAAAAAAAAAAAAAAAAAGAGGAACTGCCAGAAAGTAAGTTTTTGAAAGATACAGTTGTCTACAGGTAAGATCAAAAGAACCGGAGACTCACGGGCCAGGAGTGACAGAGGATGACATGAATCTGCAGGCCTGACTTCCTGGCTCAATTGTGAGCATCTTAAGGGTTATGGTGCTTAGGGAAAAAGAGGTAGATGGCAGACTGACAGCCTAAACTAGCAGGACTCAGAATGTTTGGAAAATCATTCTGACTCAATAAAGGAATTCACACCTCCAGTGGGGGATGAAAACAACTGCTTTCTGTTTTCTCTTTCTTAAACAGAAACTTCTGACTTGGTGCCCGCAGCTCACCGAGGCTGGCAGGTTCAAACCCAGCCTGGGCCTACTAAACAACCATGGCAACTGCAACAAAAAAATAGCCAAGTGCTGTGGCCAGCACCTGTGGTCCCAGCTACTTGGGAGGCTGAGGCAAGAGAATCACTTAAGCCCAAGAGTTTGAGGTTGCTGTGAGCTGTGACACCACAGCCCACTATGTGCTACGTAATGAGACTCTGTCTCAAAAAATAAATAAATAAATAAAATAAAACAGAAACTTAAGTTCTCACTTCAGGTACCTATTTTTCAGGGTTGGACCAAATCTGGCCCCACAAAATTACCCTTTCTTCTGCCTGCTGACCCATTATGATTGCAGGCAAGTCACTCTACATTTTAGGGCTTCAGTTCCTCTAACGCAAAAGGCAGGGTTGAACCAGACAACTTCCAAGCTTAAGACCACATGTCTTTCAAATTAATAATGGGGACTCAGAATTCCAGTATCTTTTTCTGCTTTTTAGCAGCCTTGGGTGGTTCTGATGATAGTCAGAACTAGGTTCAAACCTTACTCCACCCCACCTTCCTAGTGACCTAACTACTGGGAATCCTTGTACCTCAATGTTCTACCAAAGAAGTGGGAATAACAGCTCCTCCCTAGAGGCTTGTTGTGAGGGTTGATCTAAAGTGCCTTGGAAAACAGGGAGGTGGCTCGGCGCCTGTGGCTCAAGCAGCTAAGGCGCCAGCCACATACATCTAAGGTGGCGGGTTCGAATCCCCAGCCCGGGCCCGCCAAACAACGATGATGGCTGCAACCAAAAAATGGCCAGGTGTTGTGGTGGGCACCTGTAGTCCCAGCTACTTGGGAGGCTGAGGCAGGAGACTCACTTGAGCCCAGGAGTTGGAGGTTGCTGTGAGCTGTAATGCCATGGCACTCTACCCAGGGGGACAGCTTGAGGCTCTGTCTCAAAAAAAAAAAAAAAAGAAAACGGGGAGGTGCTCCTAATGTCATTCCCTCCTTCCCCACTCTGACTCCTCTGCACCCTGGGAAAAAGCAAATATCCATTCATCCTCACTGCTTTCTTTTTTTTTTTTTTTTGAGACAGAGTCTCACTTTGTTGCCCTCGGGAGAGTGCCATGGCGTCATCAAAATCTTGGACTTAGGCAATCCTCTTGCCTCAGTCTCCCAAGTAGCTGGGACTACAGGTGCCCAGCCATACCACCAGGCTATTTTTTGGTGCAGTTTGGCCGGGGCTGGGTTCAGCCTGCCACCCTTTGTATGTGGGCCAGCACCCTACTACTGAGGCACAGGTGCCACCCCTCACCTCTTTCTTTTTTTTTTTGAGACAGAGCCTCAAGCTGTCGCCTTGGATAGAGTGCTGTAGCATCACAGCTCACAGCAACCTCGAACTCCTAGGCTCAAGCGATTCTCCTGCTTTATTTAGCCTCCCAAGCACCTGGGACTACAGGCACCTACCACAACACCCGGCTATTTTTTTGGTTGCTGCTGTCATTGTTGTTTGGTGGGTCCGGGCTGGATTCGAACCCGCCAGCTCAGGTGTATGTGGCTGGCGCCTTAGCCACTTGAGCCACAAGCGCCAAGCCTGTTCAGATTTTCTATGTAGAAATATGTATATTTATTTTTGAGACAGTTTCTCTCTGTCTCCCTGGGTAGAGTGCTGTGACGTCATAGCTCACAGCAACCTCAAACTCTTGGGCTTGAGCAATCAATCCTCTTGCCCCAGCCTCTGGGGTAGCTGTGCCTATAGGCACCTGCCACAACATTGAGCAAGTTTTTCTATTTTTAGTAGAGACCAGGTCTCTTGCTCAGGCTGGTCCTGAGCTTCCCAGAATGTTAGGATTATAGGTGTGAGCCACTGCACCTGGCTTCTGTGTAGCAATATTAACACATCATTGACTTGGCACCCGTAGCCCAGTGGTTATGGCACAAGCCACATACAACAATGGTGGCAGGTTTGAACCCAGCCTGGGCCAGCTAAACAACTGCAACAAAAAAATAGCCAGGTGTTGTGGTGGGCACCTGTAGTCTGAGCTTCTTGGGAGGCTGAGCTGTGATGCCACAATACTCTACCAAGGGCAACATAATATGACTCTGTCTCAAACAAACAAACAAAATAACACACACAAAAAAACCCTACATGATCTTGGCTCAGTGCCTGTAGCTCAGTGGTTAGGGCACTGGCCACATACACAGAGCTGGCAGGTTCAAACCCAGCCTGGGCAAGCTAAACAACAATAACTGCAACCAAAAAACAGCTGGGCATTATGGCAGGCACCTGTAGTCCCAGCTACTTGGGAGGCTGAGGCAAGAGAATTACTTAAGCCCAAGAGTTTGAGGTTGCTGTGAGTTGTGACACTACAGCACTCGACTGAGGGTAACATAGTAAGACTCTGTCTCAGAAACAAAACAAAACAAAAAAAAACACATCATCTACTCAAAGAATGGTATTTGGGTGATGATTCGGGGTAGATGGGGGCAATAAATAATTCTAAGAGATTTTTGACTAGGATCAGGAGCCCAGTGATCTACAAGTCCAGCCTTTTAGACAACAGAAAACAAAATTTGTGGGAAGTTTTGTGAGGTTACCAGGGGAAAATACTAGGAACTCTTTGTGCACTTCTTAAAGGCAGGGCTTGAACCAGATGACCTAAGATTCTGTGATTCTGGGAACTGAGAGACAGTTGCTCCCAAGCGAAGGCGTGTGTGCCCTTTCCAGTCCTAGCTTCAATTTCTGTTTCCAGGAAGCCAGGGACATGAAACCATGTGAACGTCAGATCACCAGGTGAGGCTGACATCTGAGTTCTGTGCATATTTTTCCTCATTAAACATCTAGAATCACTTCCAATCAAGTCATTCAAAAGAAACGTGCTTTTTATCAAATTCTAGTATATCAGGCAAAATAAGATAGTTTGAGCCCTGACTCAGTTATATTAGTGATATAATGGATAATTGACTTCCCAAAAATCTTTTAAGTAAAGGTAATTCTTTTTTTTTTTTTTTTTGAGACAAAGCCTCAAGCTG